ACGGTAACTAACTATAACCTTTTTTGAGGCTAATCGTCAGAAGTTCTCCAAAATGATTTTAATCAAAGATAGTGATACTATATTTATAAAAGGAATAAGACTTAGGGACTCAACTACTATCTTGAAAGAACTTAGTAACTTTAAAAATAAGCAGTTTTAAACTTTTGGTAAACATTTTCATAAATTACTGTTTGAGAAGGGCAATCAGATCCTTTGGTTAGGAGGATGGGGTCTTCATTGAAGTCAGGCTGTAGGCTAGGCCTTCGGTGAGTCTGTATCTCTGCCCCACCAAGCCTATTGCTAGCTGTAGGCATTTCGGATGGAACCAGGGGACAGAATGTTGCTGGAACAATGCACATGCTTCATCTCACCACCGCAGAAAAAGACGTCAAGGTGTCATCTTCATGTATAAACGTGTATCATCATTGCTCTGGTCCTGGATGAGGTAATATACTTTCATATTTTCTGGAAGGAAACACTTTAATTCTGATCTTAAACTCTAAAGTCTCCTCTTTTTAAGTGTGTGATGTCTGTAGTAATTATGAAGTTGTGTGTGTGCATGTAACGTGGTAAATCTTCATAAACAGTATGGTATTCTGTAAAACTGTCACTTAGATTGTCTGATTCTTGTCAAACATAAGGAACCTGTGAAATAATTTCTAGCTAAATTATTGGATATGAAACTAAGAACGACAGAGAGGACTCCCTGACTTTGGTTTTATTTCCTGGATAAAAGGAATAACTTCCCTCACAAAGTAGTTTTGAGGATAAAAGAATACAAAAATATGCTTCATAAATTCTAAAACGTAATAGAAATGTTACCACTTTTATGTTTCACTGAAAATAGCTCTAATGGTTGACAATGTGAAGTGTTGGGACTTGGGAAGATAATGGAAAGTTAAACTGTTCTCCTTAAAACATTCTAAAAGCAAGTAGCTCAGTAAGAAAGGGTACTTAATAGAAGTCAAAAAAAAACTTTTCGTGTCTTCTAACCATGAAGTGCCCTTTGAGAGTAATCAAATAGAATTGAAACGTCACCTGATTAACCTGATAGATTTCTTTTTAAAAACATGTCTTTTTCTCGATATACTGTTAGTAATCAATAAAGTCAGAGCCGCACAAACAATTACGTGTGGACAGTGTGCCACCCTCTGAGGCTCTGGGGTACAAAGTGAACAAGGCATGACATTCCTGTCTTCATGGAACTTATATTCAGAAAATAGAAATCTGTAAACTCATCATATATATTTTTTTCCATCATATAATTTTTAAGCATCGAGGCAACATGTCACAAATTTCCTACTTCTGTATAGCTCTTTGTCACTTAAAAAGGTTTAATTTACCATCCTGCATTTGTTCTTTACAACAATGTTGGGCAGTTAAGGAGAAGAACTCAGGGAGCCATTCGCTTAATAAACATTGGAACTGGATTTCAGATCAAACCCACTGTTCTTACTCCCAGGTCATGTTTCTCTCTCACAGGACCATGTGGCTCAGCTGAATACCACAAAGTACGGACACAGTGGATATCTACATTTATTTGATGAATTAAGGCATGTTCTTACTAGTTGTTTTTCATATGGAATCAACAATTACCTTTATTTAAGAGGAGATTTTAAACTCTAGCTACCCTTAGCAAAGATAAACTAATTCCTGTTGAACATCTATGAAGACTAACGTAAAATAAATGCCATAATCTCAGTTCTAAAAACAGAACTATATTGTATGATGGCTTTTATGTAAGTTCTTATTAACAGTTTTCTGTCCAAGACTGAAATACTTTACACTCACACTATAGTGTGCAAGAGGTGCATTTGAGGAGCCTGGGAAAATGCAGGTTCTTGGGTTCCAGTGGAACCCATGAATCTGTGTCCTAGGTGGCACCCTGATAGTTCTATGATTGTTGCTCCATGGAATATACTTTGAAAAAGGACCCTGGAACACAGCACCATATCAAAGTTAACATAGCAAGTAGACATGGAAGTAGAAAGTAAAAATTACCTGAACAAGGGAAAACATTATGTTTACAAAGGAAAAATAAATGAGAAGATGATGTTGAGGGAAAAGGAGATGATTTTTAGCATATATTCATTTTAAATCACTTTACTACTTCAGCATCATAAAATGTAACTGTTTTCTTTTCATAAATATAAGATTCTTGGCAGAAACATTTTGGATATTCATGTTATAGCTACGCTTTTTTTTTCTTTTTTTTTTTGAGAAAGTGAGCGAGTGAGAGCATAAGCCGGGGTAGAGGGAGAGAGAGAGGGAGAAGCAGACTCCACTGAGCAGCCCAATGCAGGGCTCGATCCCAGAACCCTGGGATCATGACCTGAGCTGAAGGCAGGCGCTTAACTGACTGAGCCACCCAGTTGCCCCTCTGCATCATCTTTTGAAAGAAATACAAATTCTTATAGGTGAAAACTTGCTTAAGGTAGGCAGAATAAGGTATACTAAAAATAGCTTCTTTTAGGGACTTCAGTGAGATGTACATTCTTTAGTAACAACTGTGTTTAAAGGAAGCCTGTGGGCAGCCCCGGTGGCTCAGCGGTTTAGCGCCGCCTTCAGCCCAGGGCCTGATCTGGAGATCCGGGATCCAGTACCACGTCGGGCTCCCTGCAGGGAACCTGCTTCTCCCTCTGCCTGTGTCTCTGCCTCTCTCTCTCTCTCTCCCTCTGTGTGTGTGTGTCTCACGAATGGATGAATAAAATCTTTAAAAAAAAAAAAAAACAAGGAAGCCTGTTACAGTTTTATAATTTTGTTCCTACACTGTGCCCGGCACCCTACAACATAAGTGTTTCCTGAATGAACACAAACAGGTATGCAGCAATGAAGAATCCTCTCATCCTAACATTAACCTATTTATTGACCAAAAAGGTAAGAGAAGGATAAGTGCAATTTTTGAAAAGCATACTGGAGGAAAATAAAATGCATTAATATGGAATGGATACTTTTGGAAGAAGTGTTATTGCTTTTCAACTACTTTGATAAAAAGCCCAGGCATTTTGATAATACTGCAGTATCTGTTGTATTTTTTTTAGGTAGACTTTCGCTGGGTAATAAGTTCTTCAAAGAAATTTTCATTCAGGGCAGTTTTACCCCCCATCACTCCACCCTCTTTTTTTTTAAGAGGCAAGGGCAGTGGAAGAGGGAGAGAGAAACTTAAGCAGGCTCAATACCCAGCATGGAGCCTGATCTCACAACTGCAAGATCATGACCTGAACTGAAATCAAGAGCTGGATGCTTAACCAACTGTGCCACCCAGGTGCCCCAGGAAAGATCATTTTAAAAGTTATGTTTTCTGTTTTTAAAATATCTAATAGTTTCCCAATTTCACCTATATTTTTAGATTTGAGAAACTAAGGCTGTGACAATACTGAACAAAATAAAATTGAGATTTGATGGACAGTTAAAATAGCCAAAGAAATCAACTTTGCAATATGGGTAATATCCAATTACCTAGGTAGATGTTTACTGTCTAGTTTTTTTAATCGGGGAGCATGAACTTGAGTGGAAGAGAAAGTCCATCCTTATTTCCACCAACCAACCTCTAATGAAATTATGAATATAGCAGCCAACCACAATAATGTTAACAGTTTTGACTGTCACCAAAGGAATCAGAGATCTTTGTTACAATTGTTGCAGAGACCTGAAATTACTGTCAATCCATCATTATAAACTGGTTCTTTTTAGTCTTCAAGTAGGCTGGTTAAGGTAATTTGGCTTAAAAAATAAAGTATTATTTAATAATAAAATTTTAGTTTCTTATAATGACCCGATATCGTTTAATTCTTATTCTGCCACATTAGTGATTCTAGATGTGTAGAGTACTTTAGCAATCTAAATAGCTGTATTTATTGAGAGGAAGCTTGGCTGAATCACACCTAAAGTTTGCAAAGGGATTCTGTTCTAAAGTTTTCAGTATTTTTTTTAAATTTAGAAGTAAAATAAGCAAGTTTAAAAACAAAATGTAGGGCAGCCCGGGTGGTTCAGTGGTTTAGCGCCACCTTCAGCCTAGGGCCTGATCCTAGAGACCACATTGGGCTCCCTGCATGGAGCCTGCTTCTCCTTTGCCTGTGTCTCTGCCCCCCCCTCTCTCGTGAATAAATAAAATCTTAAAAAAAAATAAAAACAAAATGTAGCTTTTTAGGAAGACTGATTTATTTTTAAAAATTGTGTTTGAGGGGGAGGGGCAGAGAGAAACAAGAAGACACCCTCCCCTCCCCCCACTGAGCAGAGAGCCTGACTCGCAGCTTGAACTCACAACCCTAGACCACAACCTGAGCCAAAACCAAGAATCAGATACTTAACTGACTGAACCACCTAGGTGCCCCAAAATGTAGCTTTTTAAAAGGGTAATTTTAATATTTAAAATTCTAGAAAGGATATTAAATTTACAAAGATGCCAATTATCTTTATTAATAATCATTTCTCTTACCAATTTTTTTATAACTACATTTTTGCTACCTTGTATTTACATCATAAAATATTTAGTACCCTTTTTACATAGTTACTAGATAATATTCTAGAGTTCTTTCAAGAAAAGTGAATTATATACCAATGGTACAGAAATGATGGTATTAGTCAATTATTCACATACATTTTAGTTGTTCAAAGAAAAGTTTTCAAAACTAAGTGATGACTTAAGACATAGATTAGTGATAATTCAGTAATAATCTGAAACATCACAAATTTAATTGTCTTGCCTCCTTTAAAATAATTCATTATAGTTTTTTACCTTTTGTCTCTCTGTAAGGTAAGTATATGGCCCGATTGTTTTCTCCCCAGAAAAGGAATATGGGATGTTATTTATTTACCAAAGATCTAGTCTGTCTTCATCGGGCTCCACTTTTAAGGCATCGGAGTACAAATAACTTGTGTAATATCAAGAATACTCTTTCACGGTTTGGAAAATATATCATTTTCTAAGCGTGTCTAATGTAAGATGGTTGGGAACTCCAAAATGAAAAGAAATATATATAAATAAATATAATTCAAGCTAACAACTTTGGTTTCTTAATTTAATGGAATCCATTCCAGTTAATGATTTCTCATTACCTTACAGGAAAATAAATTTAACCTGTATTAAATCCACAGCTTTGGTGAAGTAGGTTGTGCAGAATATGTGTTTGGAAAATAATGTGAGGATAACAGACTGCTGGGCTTTGTCTCAAGGAGAACAATTATGTCATGGATTTGTGTCAAGTACCAGGTATTTTTCCCACAGAATGTTTCCTGTGTTGTCTGTTGCAGCTGAATCCACAAGCCTTTTTTTCTTATGTCACATCGGAATGCTGTGCTTCACATTTTCTTCTTTTTCATGGGACAGACTCTGAGAACGTCTCTTCTTTCTGAGTAAAGATGGCTGTAGGTATAATACATTCCTGACATAGAGAAGGAAGAGTCAGAAGTGAGGCTGATTAACCATTTCTCTGGAAGGAACCATGGTTTTAAAATATAGTCAGAGTGCTGTTTGGAGCCTACGGACAAGACACTTGCAAGGGAGACTCAAAGAAGGAACACTTAAAACAAGGGCCCAGAAAGGGAAATAACACACACTCCTGTAACATCCTATTTTGTTGAAGCAAGAAGTTAATTTTTCCCTTTCTTTAGGGCAGCTCTCTCTACTACCCCTGAAGTTTCACATCTGTCGGCTCTTTCATGCATTGTTTTTATGTGTCTGATAATGACTACCTCTAGAACAACTATCTTGGGGATTTGTGAAGGTTAGAGCTGCAGAAAGTGAAATGTAATCATGGAAGTCCTTTGCCAATTAAATTTTCTTAACTCTAAGTTTTTGTTCCACACAGTCTTCTTATGTTTTTAGCACCTACTCCCACTTGCCTGCTGGGAAATGCTAGCACATGAAACCAAACAAGCAGGAAACAAAATTGATATAAGTGGGAAAACCAGAAATGGCCAAGCCTGCTTAGTTTGACATCTGTGTTTTCACCATAGATCCCTGTATCCATGGTCAAATGTCCACATTTCCTAAACAATGCAGGCATATTACCTGCTAGTGAAATTGTTCTTGTTTATACAGTGAAACAGTGGTATATTTGATCTTGTGATACCCTGAGAAGGGTATCATAACTTGTAGGTAACCATACACTTGTAGGTTACTAGAACACAAGTTCTAGTTCATCATGCTGGACTCCCTCTTCGGTTTCTCCCGTGTTCATGGCCCTTTCTGTTAAAGGACAGAATAGCACAAGCCAGAAAGCACAGGAAGAATGCAAAACCAAAAAATAAAACAAAAGAGCCACTTACCTATGAAGAGCATCATGAGATAGATTTTCAGCACGTACGGGAAATAGATGGATAAGTCAAAGGGCAGCTTTGTGGAATAAGTGCCAAATGATTCAAAATAAGGCAGTGACTGATAGATGGCAAATGCTGTTTAAAAAACAAGGAAGGAATTGTGAACATTTTCCCTAGTAATGCTACAGGTGTGTGTACACATGAAGATCTATGTAGTTGAAGGATATTTTGAATTTTATAGTGATAGTTGTGACAGTTTGCTGAATCCTTTAGCTAAAGATACATTATGGTATAGGAATCGGACTGATTCAACTCACAAGGCCATTACAGCAGTGTGACTTGTTGAACTTTGGTCCATTTTATACTTGGTTATGCCTACAGAGAAATCATTTATAATGTTTTTTAAAATGATATCCCCCCAATACTTGTCCCCTTAGCCATAAAAAGGGATAGATAGACAAATCAACTTTAAAAATGCTGCCCATAGTTTCTTCTTGGAATTTCAAAACACATATTAGTAGAGATTCTGAAAAGTTCTGCAATAAAGAAATTGGTTTTACCCAACATTTCCTCAGCTTAACTGGCTTTGGAGGAGCTCCATCCTTCCTCCTCACCCACTAGTAGAACTTAAAGAATTCTGAGAAACTCTGAGACAAACGGTACCCAAAATATTTTGAGGAAGGAGGCTGGTGTTGGATAAGATATGGATAATCAGGGAGTCAGGGGAAGACAGTGAAGTAGGAGGATCCTACCTCATTCCATGGACACACCAAGATAACAACTACATCTAGACAACTCTGAAAACAACCTAAAGACCGAGAAGGCACATAGAAAATGGCAGAAGGGGTGGAGATGTGGTGGGCAACCAAAACCTTGATGAGACTACCACAAATAGAAAGGACACCACAAGCATGGAGAAAGAATGGGATCACACTCCATGCCAGAGATTGGGAACATGGGTCTCTATAACATCTGGCTTTGAAAACCAGTGGTGCTTTTCTATGGGAAACTTAAAAATCAGTAGGATACAAGGTTGGTAGAAGGAAGGCAATTCTAAGGATCAGAGCAGAAATAAATAGAGACTACAAAAAAATAAAAACCCAAAGCCAAAAATAATAGAAAAGATCAATGAAACCAAGAACTGGTTCTTAGAAAAGATAAACAAGGAGAGGACCAAAATAAAATCAAGAACAACAGAAATGATAACTGACCCACAGAAATACAAAGCATTATAAGACTGCTATGGAAATTTATATGCCAATAAGTCAGACAACTTCAAATAGATAAATTCATAGATACATACATCTTTCCAAAATTGAATCAGGACAAAATAGAAAATCTGAATAGACCAATTAATAATAATAATTATTGATATTATTGATATAATTGATAATTTTAAAAAATCCCAACAAACAAAAATTTAGGACCAGATGGATTCGAGTTTATATCTATTCATGTCAATCTATTGCAAAAAATACAAGAGTAAGGGAAGCTCCCAAATACATTCTATGAGGTTAACATTATCCTGATATAAAACCAAAGATGCTACCTCCTGCCTCCCAAAAATACAGGTTATCATCCCTAATGAACATAAATGCAAAAATCCTCAACAAATTAGCAAACTACATTCAGTAAATACATGAAAAGGATCATTTACCATGATTAAATAGGATTAACTATGTGGATGCAAGGATGGTTTAATATTTGCAAATTGACCAATGTGATACACCTTTCAACAAAATAAAGGATAAAAATCATGATCAATAGGTTAAGAAAAAGCATTGACAAAGTTCAGCATCTGTTCATGATAAAAACAAAGTGGGTTTAGAGGGAACATTCCTCAACATATTAAAGCTATATAAAAAAAAAAACCCAAAGCTAACATTATACTCAATGATAAAAACCTGAGAGCTTTTCCTGTAAGATCAGGAACAAGACGTCTACTCTTGCCACTTAATTCAGCATAGTACTAGAAGGCCTAGCTACATTAATCAGACAAGAAAAGGAAATAAGAGGCATCCAAATTAGCAAAGAATAAGTTAAACTCACTGCACAAAACCTGATATTATACATAAAGATCCTACAGATTACACCAAAAAACATTAGAAGTAACAAATTCAGTAAAGTTGTAGGATACAATATTAATGCATGGAAATCAATTGCATTTCTATAGACTAATAACAAGGTAGCAGAGAAATTAAGAAAGCAATCACATTAGCAATTGCACCAAAAAGAATAAAATACCTAGGAATAAATTTAACCAAGGAGGTGAATGACCTATACTCTGAAAACTATAAGACACTGATAAAAAAAACTGAAGATAACACAAATGGAAAGATATACCATGCTCATGAATTGGAAGAGTATTAAAATGTCCGTACTATGCAAAGCAAACTACAGATTCAGTGCAATCCCTATCAAAAAACCAGTTAGTTAAGCCTCCAACTCTTGATCTCAGCTAAGGTCTTAATCTCAGGATCATGAGTTCAAGCCCTTCATTAGGCTCCACATGGGCATGGAACCTACTTAAAAAGAAAAAAAAAAAGACCTAAAGATCACCGGAACAGAATAGAGCACCAAGAGGTACACCCATGCCTATTTGGTCAATCCATGACAAAGAAGGTAAGAATTACAATGGAGAATAGACAGTCTTTTCAATAAATACTGAAGAGCCACATTCAAAAGAATGAAACTGCACCCCTTTTTTTATATCATACATAAAAATAAACTCAAAATGTATTAAAGATATAAATGTGAAGCCTGAAACCATAAAACTCCTAGAAGAAAACAGGCAGTAGTATACTCTTGGATATTTCCCTTAGCAACAGATTTGTGGATATGTTTCCTCAGACAAGGGAAACAAAGGCAATATTAAAGTATTGGGACTAAAAGCAGATTCCTGCACAGTGAAGGAAACCAACAAAACAAAAAGGCAACCTACTAAATGGGAGAAGATATTTGAAAATTATATGTATTATAAGGCATTAATATCCAAAATATAGGAAGAATTTATACAACACCAAAAACACAATCAAGTTTAAAAATGTGAAAACATGAATATATATTACACCAAAGAAGACATACAGATGCTCAGCATCACTAATCACCACAGAAATGCAAATAAAAATTATAGAATAGAATGAGAACAAATAATCTAAAATTTGTAGGGAACCACTAAAGACCTCGAATAGGCAAATCTTGAGAAAGAGCACAGCCAGAGGTGTCACAATTCCAGATTTCAAAATATGCTACAAAGATGTAGTAATCTAAACAGTATGTATGGTATTGACACAAAAACAGATACATAGACTGATGGAACAGGATAGAGAACCCAGAAATAAACCCATGTCTATATAGTCAAGTAATCTATGACAAAGGCAAGAATTTACAATGTGGAAAAAAGAGCCTTTTCAATAAATGGTGCTGGAAAAATGGACAGCTACATGCAAAATAATGAAACTGGACCCCTTTCTTACACCATACACAAAAATAAACTCAAAATGGATTAGAGACCTACATGTAAATCCTCAAACTATAAAACTCCTGCAAGAAAACATAGGCAATCATTTGGACATCACCCTTGGAAACCTATTTATAGAGATATCTCCTCAGGCAAGGGAAATAAAAGCAAACTGTAAGGACTACATCAAAATAAAAGTTTTTGCACAGCAATGGAGACCATCAACAAAACAAAAAGGCAACCTACAGAATGGGAGGAGATATTTGAAAGCAAAATACCTGACACAGGGTTAATACCCAAAATATATAAAGAACCTATACAACTCAATACCAGATAGTGGGTTAATTATCTGATTAAAAAATGACCCAAATAAACATTTTTTGGACACACAGATGGCAAACAGACACATGAAAAGATGCTCAACATCACTCATCATCCAGGAAATGCAAATCAAAACCACAAAGAGATATCACCTCACACCTGTCAGAATAGCTAGTATCAAAAAAAAAAAAAAAGGAAGAAATAACAAATGTTGGTAAGGATAGAAAGCAAAAGAAACCTGATGTACTATTGGTGGGAATGTAATTAAGTATAGGCACTGTGGAAAACAGAAGTTTGTCAAAAAAATTAAAAATAGAAATACTATATAAGTGAACTCATTAGGAAATTTCACAAATATTCAATGGGAATAAGTTGAACCTCATGTTGAATACACACATGAATGCACTGCATGAGTGAATATTTAAAATATACTTGATTTAAGATTTTGTCTTATGTATTTTTTTCTGAGAAATTATGCCTTAATAAAATGGATAATTACACTGTTAGCTTAAAAAAATACCATACAATCCAGTAATTTCACTACTGGGTATTTACCCAAAGAAAACAAAAACACTAAGTTGAAAAGATACATGCACTCCTACGTTTACTGCAGCATGATTTACGATAACCAAGATACGGAAGAACTCAAGCATCATGAATAGATAAACGGATAAAGAGGATGTACTGTGTATGTATGTGTACACACACACACACAGAGGGATATTACTCAGCCATAAAAAATGAGATCTTGGCATTTGCAAGAACATGGATGGACCTAGAGGGTATTATGCTAAGTGAAATCAGTTAGAGAATGATAAATGCCACATGATTACATTTATATATGGAATATAAAAAATAAACAGACTTTTCAATACAGAAAACAAACGTGTGGTTGCCAGTGGGGAGGTGTCTGGGTAGTGTGAGTCAAATAGATAAAAAGGATGAAAAAATACAAATTTGCAGTTATAAAATAGGTAAGTAAGTCATGGAGATGAAAAGCATAGGGAATATAGTCAATAATTGTAATAATGTTGTGTGGTGATGGATGGTGGCTACTCTTATTGTGGCAAGCAATGAGTAATGGATGGAATTGCCGAATCAATATGTTATATATCTGAAACTAATATAACATTTTATGTTAATTATATTTCAATAAAAATAAAGAGAAGGAGGTTCTATGAAATCATATCCCACATATAGATTTTTATGACATTACAGGAAATGATAATGTACTATGGTTATATAAGATGTTGTTGGGACAAGCTAGGTGAAAGGGACATATGAACAATGCACTATTTTTGTACTTTTTGTGAGTCTTAGAATGATCTTAAATAGGAAAAAATTTAAAGACAAAAAATGTTGGGCAACCAAAGCTGTGAGTGCCAGTCTGAGCAGGATGAGTGACATAGGCACAGGATCTGAACTTGACACCAAAACATGCCATCTAAGATTTCCGTATGATGCACCATATGCAGCAGTATAAACAGTTGCTTTGGTTATCTATAGAACTTGCTTTTGTCTTTTATATTATTGGATGGGAAACATTAGTTATTAAATAATATTAGAGTCACCAAAAGTCAAGTAGGTTTTCTTAACTACGTATTTTTATATTTTGGGTCTTTTGAAATATATAGAAACCTATAAAGATAAAACTACAGTTACCTAGAATCTGTCACTCAGAAACATTACTGACATTTTGTCACATATGCTTTCAGACTCTTTTTCTGCATATACTTTGCTTTTAAGTTGCAGGAATAAGTTTATGAATCTAATTTCAAAAAAAGAAATGAGTTTTATGGCAAACATACTGGAACATGGCTTTTCCAGAAAGGTGAAGGCTTAACATTATCAAATAACAAGAATGAAAAAGTTTTCTATACAGTTATTCATCCTTTATTTTTAGGAAAAGATCACTCCTATCTCTACCTGATTCCTATATAATATATTCCTTATGGTATTTTTCATACGATGTAACAAAGGAATGTACTTAATGTTTCAATGAGTGAAGAATTTCATTCTTGAACAAGCCAGTGTTTTTTAGTCCTCAGGAGTATTCTCTAGATTCTCTTGGCTTGGTCTATTCTAAAAATTAGCAAATTCTTTTGAAAGCAAAAAAAAAAAAAATTAAGTTCTATCTAATATGATTTACTACAATATAAACTTTTCTCTGGTCATTGGTAGATAGAAAACATACGGGTATAATGTATACACTTTATGATTATCACCAATGTCACCATCAATTTATGTGAAATTTCTTTCTGTATGTTTTCCTTTAATTACCTTAACATGCTTCTTAATTTCTTTATGCCTTCCGTTTTCAAAATTTTAGTGTCCATTTCAGAAGGTTCCCTACCAGTCTGCCAAATCCATTACAGGAGGAAGCATATATTCCCCTAATATCCTCAAGCTTTTTGCAAACTGATGAATTATTTAAGTTTTAGGTTTACATTTAGGCCAAGTAACTAGCTCACTTCATATTGTATTCAATAATTGATTCAGTGTTTACTGAGCATGTATACTGGGTGAATAAGGGAAGGTGAGCAAGGAAACAAAGACAACCCTGTATCCCCAAGTTACTGAGAGGCTAGACAGGAAACAGACATTATTCAAAGAATAACACAAATGTCTAATTACACCTCAGACAGGTCTTATGAAAGATTCATGGCGCAGAGTGTTGGGGTAGGAGGGCAGAGAATGGAAGTGGTTGAGAAAGTTGAGGAATGCTTCTCTGAGAAGTTGATGACTGAACTTAAGGTAGCATTAACTGTTCCTGGCAGAGAATGTGATGCATGGTAGATGGTTAGGTAGGAAAAATAGTCCAGCCAGGGAGAAGTAAATTTCTAAATATTAAAAATTAAATTAAAAATAATCACTGGGGCACCTGGGTGGCTCAGTCGGTTAAGCGCCCAACTCGATCTCAGCTCAGGTCTTGATTCTCAGGGTCATGAGATCAAGTCTCACACTGGGCTCCACGCTGGGTGTGGAGCCTACTTTAAAAAAAAAAAAAAACACCGAGTCACTAAATGTTAAATCCCTTTTGGATGAGTAAAGTGGGAGAGGTTAAATGATTTGCCCAAAACTCATACAGTCAAGTTAATGAAGTTAAAGGCCTGTACTCAGATGTTTTAATTCCTCATCCAATATTTTGTCTACTGTGCAAAGATGCTTCCTGCTTGAATTTTGTTAAAAATGCTTTGCTTTTTTGCATCAAGGGAAGTGAGCCAGGAATGACCCACTGAGTCAGCTGTCAGCTAACAGTAGCAAAAATAGGAATTTAATCATTGAAAAGTTTAGTGAGCCATTATAACTAGATTGCTTTGGTCAGCAAGCAATAATGCAAAGTCACTCTTTTCTTACCTTCAGCAAGAACACACAGAGGATAAATCGGCATCCACAGTGTTTGACTGAGCCAGGTCAAGACCGCATAGGATATTCCTATGACTGATAGCATGCTGTAAGTGTACCTAAAAGAAGACCGGGAGCTCATAAACATCATTTCTTGCTGATGTTTGGGAAATAACAAGAGAAGAAAATACCTTACATTGTAATTAAATACAGATACAACTGGAAAGTTTAAATTCCAGACTTTGTTCCCTATCATTTAATCAGAAGAGATAAGTAAGTAAATAAGAGGAAGGGACCTGTGTCAGTCTGGCTCATCTCAGGGGGTAGATCATGGATAATATGGAGGTGGACAAAGAAAAATGTCACTCTTATCCCTCAACAAATTACAAGTTTTCCTGATTAGTGACTTCAATTTCACTTAGAAGCTAAACCCATTTGATGCAGCTAGATTTTTGTTATTTTTATTTTTAAAGATTTTATTTACTTATTCATGAGAGAGACAGAGGCAGAGGGAGAAGCAGGCTCCCTGAGGGGAATCCGATGTGTGACTCACTCCCAGGACCCCGGGATCATGCCCTGAGCTGAAGGCAGACACTCAACCACTAAGCCACCCAGGCGTTCTTTTTTTTTTTTTTTTTTTGAGACAACAAATTCTTTTATTTGCCAGCGAAGAGCAACGCAGGTATCCAGAGATAGGACGCTGCTCTCTAATCTGACCTCCTGGCTGGGGTAATGCCACAAAGGCTTCGTTGTTCACTGACTGTAGGCACAGTAGCTTCTCAAGGAAAAATAAGGTTTTTCTACAAAAAAAACTTACATGAGGTTGACTGGGGAGAGGACAAGTAGAATGGAAACAGTACCAGGGCACTCAGCTTCCCTAACCAGGTTCAACATTGACACACATTTCCCACGGTGGAAATAACTGAATATTAGAGTTAAGACTATCTGCCTTTAACTCCTTTTCAATATCAGCAAGATTTGGGGATTCTTTTCAGAAAAGTGTCTGTAACTTTTGTTTGAGGCACAGGAGGACGATGGCAGACATTTAAGGCCATGTTTCCATTAGCTCTGTCTTCCCCTTGACTATCTTCCCAGCTAGATTTTTAAAGACTGAGCCACCCAGGTGCCCCTCTGGTCCTTGCTTTTTTTTTTTTTTTTTTTTTTTAAGTCATTTTAGGGTAAGTTGGGAAGATAATTCCACCTCAACTTTACAGAGGAAAAAAAAAACTGTTTCAAAAAGGCTAGGTGCTCAGGAATTTCACTTCTAAGAGAAATGAAAGCCTATGTGCATACAAAAGCTTGTACATGGATGTTCATAGCAATATTCCTCATAACCAAAAAGTCTGTCCATCAACTGAAGAATGGATACATAAAAGTGGTATATCGAAATGGAATATCATTCAGATGTAAAAGGAATGAAATACTGATACATCTTATAACATGGATTAACCTTGAAAACATTATGCTAAGTGAAGGCAGTCACAAAAGGCCACATATTGTATGGTTCCATATATATGAAATGTCTAGAAAAGGCAAATTCATAGAGACAGTATGTTAGTGGTTGGCAAGAGCTAAGAGAAGAGGAAATGGGGATTTTACTGCTACAGGGTTTAGGGTTTCTTTGGAGTGCAATGAAAATGTCCTCAAATTAGTGATGATAGTTATACATCTTTAAATATACTAAACCCCTCAAATTTTCTATTTTAAAGGGTGAATATTGGGGTGCCTGGGTAGCTCAGTCAGGTAAGAGTCTGACTCTTGATTTCAGCTCATGATCTCAGGGTCCTGAGACTGAGCCCTGAATCTGGCTCCAAATTGGGCATGGAGCTTACTTAAGATTCACTCCCTCTCTCCCCTTCTCACCCCCTTCTTGGTCTAATTAATTAATTATTAAAAAATAAAAGGATGAATGTGAAAGTACATGAATTATCTCAATTCTGTTGTTTTTGAAGGTTCAGCGATATGTCCACGATTGTACACCAAGTAAATGGAGGTAGGATTTATCCTAAGGTTTTCTATGTTAAGAAGCCCTTTGATGGCATCTTTTATGTTAAAATCATTTTGTTCTCTAATGGGTTTAACTGAGCTTATCAGAAACTGGAAGGACACTGAAAAAGTCAGGCATACCAGAGAAGTCATAGCCTCAGATGGGACTTCTTATCTCAGGAATAGAAAGTAATGGACTATATAAGTCCACAAAATTCATCCCAAGTCTACAAATTTTTCAGTTAAAAAATGAGAAATGACTTACTAAATTACATATACAAAGAATTAGAGTCATTTTCATTCAATAAAATATTTCATTGTAACTCACTCTAGGGCTGAACCTATTATTTAGGAATAATTTAGCTAAGTTAAAGACAATACAATGAATAAAGAATTTACATAACCTCAGCTAAAATGCTAGGGCTCTTTTGTTACCTACCCTCATCCAGATCTTTCAACTGAATGGGGCAGTTCTCATTTGTGAAAGCCAAGGTAGCAGTTAGCACATCTCCCCAAGATAAGCCTCTGAGCAAAGGGGACTATTTATGCCACTGCTGGTAGAGATAAGACTAGACCCATCTCTTGGCAAGGTTTTAGATATAGAAGGAAACTAAAGATGACCTAGAGCAAAGATTCCTAACCTGAGGTTCAGGGATTTCCAGGAAATCTACAAAATAATTTCACTAAGTCATTTGAACCCACTGGAATTGTATACAAAATGTATCATGGGGGATCCCTGGGTGGCGCAGCGGTTTGGCGCCTGCCTTTGGCCCAGGGCGCGATCCTGGAGACCCGGGATCGAATCCCACATCGGGCTCCCAGTGCATGGAGCCTGCTTCTCCCTCTGCCTATGTCTCTGCCTCTCTCTCTTTCTCTCTCTGTGACTATCATAAATAAATAAAAATTTTAAAAAAATGTATCACGGAGGGAACGCCTGGGTGGCTCAGTCGTTGAGCATCTGCCTTTGGCTCAGGGCATGATCCCGGGGTCCTGGGATCGAGTACCGCATTGGGCTCCCTGTGGGGAGCCTGCTTCTCCCTCTGCTTATGTCTCTGCCTTTCTCTGTCTCTCATGAATAAATAAATCTTTTAAAAAAATGTATCATGGAGATGAAAAGTACAGCATAGGGAATAGAGTAAAAAAATCCTGTAATAATGCTGTATGGTGAGAGATGCTGACCGTACTTATCATGGTCAGCATTGATTAAGTAACATATAGAACTGACCAAATAATATGTTGGACACCTGAAACCAATATAACATTGTAAGTTAATTATACTTCAATAAAAAATAAATACAAAATAAATGAATGTGGAGGTGCATTCTTCCCCAGAGAGATGAGGCCCTAGGTTTAAAAATATTCTGGAATTCACAGAAACCAACTTTGTAAATCCTGACTATGACATAATAAAAGTCTTGTTCTGCTTGTTAGAGTAACATGTACCAGAGCAATCGCAAGAAATGCCTTTCATTAGCAAACAGCTGTGAGGTTTATCCCAAAAAAGGTGCTGTGCCAAGTCTGCTAGAAACTTGAATGCATTGATTTGCTCTTGTAATACCATGGTAGGTTTGCATTGTCTCTGATGTGTCCATTATGGAAAGCACTAAAAATGCATTTCCATATCAAGATAAAATAATTTAGAAAGGGGTTAGGTTTTTCTCATTCAGAGTAACCAAATGTAGGCAGCTTATCAGTTTCATTGTAGAAAAGCAACTTGGCTTTAAGAGATTATTTTTCCTCCTTACCTAACCATATCCAACAGATTCCAAAAGATGAATAAAACACACACCACATATTTCTCTTGAACTTCCTCTTGACTGGTGATCACCACAAAGAGGATGATTATTCTCTCGGTGAGCTAACAAAGACACAGCAAAATCAAGAATTAGGATCATCTGTTAAGCATGTAGATAATTTTCTAATTTTACAAACCACAGTTCCTCTTCAAAGGAAGAGTATGCTTTAGCTGGAAAGAGGTATGCTAAACTGTTAACCTGATCTCTGAGAGAGCAGGGCTATGGTTTAATTTCACTTCCTCCCTGGTGTTTTTGTATCCTCCAAATTATATGCAATGAATGAAAACAGAAGAAAACATATATTTTATCTGAATCAGGCTATTTCTCCTGCTATATATGTACACATGTTTTTATTCACTTTGGCAAGCTTTTATTGAATGCCCACTATGTATTCGATGCCAAGGTTGTATATACAGTGAAAGTGTGGTCCTTGCTCCAGAGGATAGCAGTGGTAGGAGAATGAGGGCACAGAATCCCAACACACTGTCAATGATGATAATGCTGTTATTTAAAGTGCTCTGAATGAGAACACAGGTGAAGGAGACACCTGCCTGGGAAAAGGATGCAGAGATTTAGGAAGACAGGCTGGGAGAAGGGGCAGGAGTTTGTCAGGTAAACTGAATAAGAGAAAGGACATCCTAGGTTAGGGGAGCAGGCTAAGTAAAGAGGCAGAAGTGTGAAAATGTGGCTGTACTGGGGAGTAAATAAAACCCCTGGAGGCGAGGGCTGGCAGAAGGTGCAGAGGAGGGAATAATAGGAAATAAAATTGAAAACGTGGTAATGGCTGGGTTGTAAAGGGTTTTGAATGACGGGCCAAGAAATTTTGATTTCATCTAACAGGGAAGCTATTGTAGCCTTTTTTTTTTTGGATGTGGATGGAGGGGGAAGAGATGTAATATAATCCTAACCTTTATAAGCCAGTGGAAAATGAAAAGAATTCAACATACACATTTTTTTTCCAAGTCAGTAAGCATTTGCAAATCATTGAGAATTCACACACTTATGGCTTAGCGCCAATTACTGACCTCAAAAAAATAATGCCCCCTGTACAGTCTGCATTTTTTCGTTCCTTTTTTTTTTTTTAATAAAACATTCTACTTTGCTCTCAATGGTCAGAGGAAAATGTGCTTGAGATTGAGGGAGCATATTATTGATAAAGGAAAGGGGAGGACTGCTTTATACCTTTCAACAGTTGTCTATGCTTTTGAGGCAAATCAAGAAGAATGGAATAATCTGTGACTTAGAATCATAGGCTGCTAATCCTGGAAAACCACCTAGTGCAGAAAAGCCCCAGATTTGCTAACACTGGGCCACATGATCAAATATGCACATGTATAAGCTATGTCAGCAGGTTTATGACCACAGGAGTGAGTCAAGAGGGTCTTTGCTTGGCTAAGGTAATTAGATAGGATTCAAACCTTAGTTGATCCATAGAGCTATTTACATAGCTGTATTTAGTTTGTCAGTCTTTCTTTACAATGCCCTAGTTTCTTTAATTATATTTACATAATGAAGTATACTTAACTGCAGTTGTAATTACCAAATGATCCAAGCTTGCTGTCAAGGACACCTGGCAGCCTTTGAATAAAAGATCTTAGCAAGCAAACAAGTACACAAGAACCACCTAATCTTATGTTTGGTCAGTGCCTGCTAATTAGGAAAATCATCTAATTTTTAATGAAAATCTCAAGATACATCCACATGAATGTGTATATACAACACATATTTCTAACTACTTGGCTGACTAAAGAAAGAAAAAAACCTAGATTCATCTTGATAAGATGGATCTCTAGGGTCCACTCTAGATAAACCCAAACCCACCTTTTTACAAATAAAAAATTGGGGAACCAGAGAAGTGACTTTTCCTAGTGGCAGACTTAGAAACATCCATCCCAAGTTTCCTGGTTTCCAGAGTTATAAGGTATCCATGATGTCAAGTGGTCCCTTAACTGACGAGTACTGAGAGGGAAATCTCCTAAAACGGGATGGTGCTGCACAACAGACTTCATCCTATTGAAAATCATCATTTGGTCTGTGGTGTGTTACTCATGTAATCCAAACTGCAGAGAAATTAGCAATCAACATGCTCCCAAACCCCATAAACATACATACATGTGGGTATGGGAAGACCCCTCCTACAATGTCAATTTTTTAAAGATTTTATTTATTCATTTATTTGAGAGAGAGAGTGAGAGGGCACAAAATGGGGGAGGAGTAGAGGAAGAAGCAGACTCCTCACTGAGCAGGGAGCCCAAAGCAAGGCCTGATCCCAGAACTCTGGGATCATGACATGAGCTGAAGGCAGACACTTAACCAACTGAGCTACCCAGGTGCCCCCAATATCAATTTAATTAACAAACTGTCTGATGGTTCTTTAACTTGACCATTCAATGGCAATACAATGGGAGAATTTAGGTGGAGCTATTCTCAAATTGAAACAGCCAATATTTATTGGTTACTTTGTATGAGGTTCCATACATATACCATATCTCATTTAATTTCCATAATAACCCTAAGAAATAAGTGTTATTATTTTTTGCTGCCTTTTATAAAGGGCACTGCATTTTGCAAAGTGAAAGTGACTTGCCTGGAGATCTGGAACAGAAATCTAGACGATGTAAAGCCCTTGTTCTGAAGCACTAATACATTTTCCCCTTTGTTATTTTATGGGTTATCTTCATGCCTAATACCCAGGTTATATTCTATGCTTTCAAAAAGTCTGTCTCCAAAAGTTAAATCTTAAAACAAGAACCTCCTTGATATTCTCAACACCAAAAGCACTTTTGAAGAATAGACTTTTTAAATCTATTCTTTTTTATAATAATTTGACTAGTTATTTGAGCTTTACACTTGTGAGAACTTAGCACTTTGTCATTTTAAACAAATCCTAAGAGAACATGACTAATTACTAACTGTTTTTTAATGTTTTGTGTAGCTCAAGCTAGGTAAAATAAAAATACAATAAAAACCCTATAACTTAGGCCAAATTAAACATTATCTTAATGTGGTCTACTCAGAAGTAACTGAGTAGACCACATGGTAACTATAAAATAAAAATACTTTGCATTTTTATGTTCTATCTGGGAATCTTAAATTCCAAGCTAAGTGGCACCTAAAACTAAGTTGTTATTTTATAAATGGCAGCTGGCACTTTAATTATAAATGATGCAGTTATAAACTATTCCCTCTATGGAGATAATTTCTAGAGTTAAGTAGCAGAAAAGGAAATTAAGAGAACAATCACATTTACAACTATGCAAAAAAAATAACAAAATACCCAGGAGTAAATTTATCCAAGGAGATGAAAGACCTGTACTCCAAAAACTATAAAACACTGATGAAAGAAATTGAAGATGACACATAAATGGAAAGATATTCCATGCTTATGGAATAACCAATAACATTAAAATATCCACACCATCTGAAGCAATCTACAGATATAATGCAATCCCCCCAAAAATGCCAACATTTTTCACAGAACTAGAATTAATAATCCTAAAATTTGTGTGGAATCACAAAAGACCTCAAACAGACAAAGCAACCTTGAAAAAGAAGAACAAAGCTGGTGTTACTATAATCCCAGATTTTAAGATATATGACAAAGCTGTATTAATCAAAACAGTATGGTATTGGCTTGGAAACAGATACAAGGATCAGTGGAACAGAGCAGGATAGAGAGCCCAGAAATAAATCCATGCTTACATGGTCAATTAATTTACAACAAAGAAGGCAAGAATACACAAAAGGGAAAGAGTTTCTTCAACAAATTGTGCTGGGAAAATGGGACAGCTACATTCAAAAGAATGAAACTGGAACACTCTTACACTATACACAAAAATAAACTCAAAATTGGTCAGATACCTAAACATGAGACCTGAAGCCTTAAGAGTTTAGAAGAAAACATTGGCAGTAGTTTCTTTGACATCAGCTATAGAAACATTTTTCTAGATGAGAGAGAAACAGAAGAAAAGAGAAACAGAAGAAAAATTAAACCATTGAGACTACACACACAAAAAAAAAACTTTTGCAAAGTGAAGGACGTCATCAACAAAAAGGCAACCTACTGAATGGAAGAGGATAGTTGAACTTCTATAATACCAAAAAATAAACCAAATAATATGATTAAGAATATTCAGGGGACCGAAATAGAAATTTCTCCAGAGACATACAGATGGCTAGCAGACACATGAGAAGATGCTCAACATCATTCATCATCAGGGAAATACATATTAAAACCACAAAGAGATACCACCTTATTACACCTGTCAGAATGGCTAAAATCAACAACACAGGAAATAAATATTAGTGAGGACATGGAGAAAAAGAGACCTGCAGATGCCCTTGTCTGCTGATGAAAATACCTGTGGTGCAGCCATTGTGGAAAACAGCATGGAGGTCCCTTAAGAATTAAAAATAGAACCACCATATATGATCCAGCAATTCCACTACTGGGTATTTATCCAAAGAAAACAAAAACACTATTTTTTAAAAAAGATTTTATTTATTTGTTCATGAGAAACACACACACAGAGAGAGAAAGAGAGGCACAGGCAGAGACACAGGCAGAGGGAGAAGCAGGCTCCATGCAGGGAGCCCAACATGGGACTCGATCCTGGGACCCCAGGATCACACCCTGGGCCGAAGGCAGCGCTAAACCACTGAGCCACCTGGGCTGCCCAGAAAACAAAAACACTAATTTGAAAAGATATACATACCCCTATGTTTATTGCCAAGATAAGGAAGCAACCCAAATATCCATCAATTGATGAACAGATAAAGACGATATATATTATACATACTGGGATTTTTAAAAAAAATATTTTTATTTAAACTCAATTTAGTTAGCATATAGCATATTACTAGTTTCAAGGGTAGGATAGAGTGATTGATCAGTTGCATATAATACTCAGTGCTCATTATATCAAATATCCTCTTTAATGCCTATCACCCAGGAACCCTCTTGATATTCTGGAAGACCAGTTTCCAGAAAGAGAATTCAGTCATTGACTTAGTCTCACAAAAGGTAGTGGCAAAATAACATCACAAATTACATAGTTTTTTT